TTTGATTCCGCCATTAAAACGATAAAAGATTCTGACAACATGATTCACAGCTAAGAATAACAACAATCATTATTATATATCTTAGCTGATATTCATGTCCAAATATAATGGGAGTTTATACATACACTTTGTTTGGAATTACCAACAAAGAAAAAACCCAATGCTTCCCATTTTCCCAATACCAAATCTCTCTTTGCTTTGCTTTTCTTCAAAAAGATTCAAATTTTGATGAACATTTTGGGGTTCCATTCTTGTTGAAAAGTGGGATTCTTGATAAATTTTTTGGTGGGGTCTTATAATAGGTTGGTTATCTATCTTTTTCTTTGTAGTGATAAAATAAAAATCATATCTTTATTCTTTTTTCTTTATGTTGCTTGTGTTTGCACGTTTGTATATATTGTTTATTGTTGAAAGATTCAATTTTTTTGGATTATTATAATAGGTTCTTGATACCCTTTTGACATGGTGAATGGTTGTTGTTTGAGAAGAAAACAATGGATATTTGGTGGCCCAAATGGTGGTTAAGTCCAAAAAAATGTTCACTTTTTTGTGTTTTTTCATTTTTCTTTTTGTTAAAGATTCTTGATACCCTTTTGCAATATGATATGGTGAGTAAATTGAATTTTCATGTTTGAGAAGAAAGATTTGATTTTTATGTGGAAATGGTTTGTGAAAGCTATAATTTTGTAGTCAATTGTTTCCTTTTTAGATAGAAAATTTCTTACTTGTGACCGATTTATAGGTAGGGGTAAGGTTTGCGTACACTTTGCCATTTCCAGGCTCCGCTTTGTAGGACTACACCGTGTATTTTGTTGTTGTTTGTGCTATATTCAGATTGTTCATACATTTGTTTTCAAGTTTTTAGGGAATTTTGTGAGTAAAGTTTCTGTCTTTCTGGTTTCCTAGGATGCAGACAGATATGTATATGACAAACATAAGTTCCCTGTGTCTGGGGATGTGGTCCCCATGGCAGTGGAGGAGCTGTTTTGCTGATTTTCTCTTCTCTACTTCCATTGATGCAGACAATGAATTTGGGTTGTGCTAATCTGTTGTAACAATTTAAAAGATTGAATCTTTAATGTTTGTTATGCTTTATTTAAGCCGAGGGTCTATCGGAAACAACCTCTCTATCTCTACGAGGTAGGGGTAAGGTTTGCGTACAGTCTAACTTTACACTGGTATGTTGTTGTAATCTTCCTCTTTTTTGTGTCCCTTTCTTCTTTGGATAGGATTATTGGAGCCTTACCAAGTTGGCAGTTTTTTCACCAGAAAGGGTCTTATCTAGTGGATTCAAGATGTATATGGTTGAAAGCAAAGATGGTGCTATAGCTTGTATGCTATTTTCTTTGTTATTGTTAGGGACATGGCCAGCTCTACTGACTTTACTCGAAAGGCGAGGCCGTTTTCCTCAACATACTTATCTTGATTATACCATTACCAATCTGTTGGCTGCTGTGATCATTGCTTTAACCTTTGGTCAGTTTGGGCCGAGCACACCAGAAATGCCTAATTTTCTTACTCAACTCTCTCAGGTTAGTGCCCTTCAAAGCCAATATACCAGCTGTGTGTTTTAGGACAATGTTTCTTGTATTTGATTTAATGCATCGTTCAATTGGAAAATGGTTAAGGGGAGCCTTGGCGTAACTGGTTAAGTTGTTGTCATGTGACTAGGAGGTCACATGTTCGAGCTGTGGAAACAGTCTCTTGCAGAAATGCAGGGTAAGATTGCGCACAATAGACCCTTGTGGTCCGCCCTTCCCCAGATCCCGTGCATAAAGGGAGCCTATTTCACCGGGCTACGATTGGAAAATGGAATATATACAGGCACCTTTTTGACACGATAAAATGTAAAAAAGTAAATTAGATTACTATTCTCTTCCAAGATAACATATACTTCTGATTGATATGTAGCACTAACTCATACTCCTATTACTTTTTAATAGAGATATATATGAGCTTTTATTAATGAACATTGCAGGATAATTGGCCCAGTGTCTTGTTTGCAATGGCTGGAGGGATGGTCCTCAGCCTCGGAAACCTCTCAACTCAATATGCTTTTGCTTTTGTTGGTTTGTCAGTCACCGAAGTTGTCTCTGCCAGCATTACAGTTGTTATAGGTATCATTTTAACTTCAGCAACTTCTATTTTCCTGAAGTCGGTACAAGGTGTTGGAAAGATGACATGTGCTGTTCCCTTGGTTATGACAGGAACAACCTTGAATTATTACCTTGACGACAAAATTAACAAAGCTGAAATTCTGTTTTCTGGAGTTGCATGCTTCTTGGTTGCCGTTTGTTTAGGCTCTGCTGTTCATTCGTCCAACAACGCTGATAACAAAAGCAAGCTTGATAATTATTCAAATGACTGTAAAGACAGAGTCAGGTATGCTGTCATACTTCCCTTGTTAATTCTTACAATGTTTATGGCTTCCTTTCTTCTGATCATTTCAAGGAAATCGACCTTTTTTTGGCTTTAGGTTATCATAACGATGTCATGTATACGTGTAGAGCTAGATGACTTGCATGTGATGAACTAATACAATTTCTCATCTCTTTGTGTGTCTTCTCATGTTCCTCTAGTTATAACAGTGAAGTGCAGAATATAATTATACGTATATACTAAAATTTTGTCAGGCATAAATACGCGTCTACTCTGTTGTAGAACTTGATCAATAATCGCAGAAAATTGATGTCCAACTTAATTGCACATTTGCAGGACTAATGGAGTTACTTCCTTCAAACCAACAAATTTTAATCAAGGTATAGTGAGCTTGAGCATCTAAAATATGATTCCCATATCTTAGATTGATTTATAACATTTCGCAATGCTGAATATCCGATCAGGTGGCATAAATGGTTTGGAGGATGGAGATGCTTCTGAGAAGGCAAAATTTGGGACTGCGGCTTTCCTTATAGAACTTGAGAACACGAGATCAATCAAGGTCGGAATTTCTTTTTCTTATTGCATTTTCATTCTCACAGTAAGCTCACACTTTATCACTATACTTGCCTATAAGTCTCTAACTAGACTAAGAAGATTCTTGGCAAACACGAATTTAGGTGCAAGTATAACAAACAACAACAGAATAACTTACTAATGTTTTTGTAAAATACATTGTAGCTACATTCTAATTGTTAAATTTGTGTATGCTTGCAGGTTCTCGGGAAGGGCACGTTCATTGGTTTGACCATAACATTCTTTGCTGGGATTTGCTTCTCTATGTTCTCGCCTGCGTTCAACCTAGCCACAAATGATCAATGGCATACTCTCAAAGATGGAGTTCCACACTTGACTGTCTATACAGCATTTTTCTACTTCTCATGCTTTTGTTTCATAATTGCCATGGTTTTGAACCTCACCTTCTTGTACTACCCTATACTAAATGCACCCAAGTCATCGTTCAAGGCTTATCTCAACGACTGGAATGGCAGAGGTTGGGCCCTTTTGGCTGGACTTTTGTGTGGCTTTGGTAATGGTCTCCAATTCATGGGGGGTCAAGCAGCTGGATACGCAGCTGCAGACGCTGTTCAGGTTCGTGCATTTATCAGCCAATTATACTTTTACTATACATCAACTACACCTCATTTCGTTGACTATATGAATCCATTATGACATAAGGAACCTTCCTCCGTTATCTAAGTTCATTACCGCTCTGCAAAACTCTTATACCGGAGTCTAAAAATTGTTGATGTTAGAGTAATATTCCCTTTGTTCTAGTTACGACACTATTTCCTTTTAAGTTTTATTCCAAAAAAATGACATCTTTCTATATTTGGAAACAATTTAACTTTAAACGTCCTATTTTACCAATGACATGACTTTACAGACACACACAAACATCATCATGACATGTTTAAGACCATAAGTTTCCGCAGATTTCTTTTTTTTCTTTCTTAAACTCTGTGCTCAGGGATTGATTACTCGTTCTCTATATCGAACACACTTGGTCATTTGAAATATATATCAAATTTGCAGGCATTGCCACTTGTCAGCACATTTTGGGGGGTGATTTTGTTTGGAGAATATAGAAGATCATCAAGGAAAACATATACACTTCTTGCAGGCATGTTGTTAATGTTTACAGCAGCTGTTGCAATTCTCATGGCATCATCAGGACATCGCAAATAGCGCGACGTAGCGTAGTTGTAAGAATATGTTCTTCTGTACATATTGTGTTTACATTTCCTTGTTGTCACGACCCCTAAAATTAGGGAGAAATAATTTAATCGGAGAAAAGAGGAGGATTGATTTTAGTTAACTCCTCTCGTTTTTTATGATGGTGTTTGACTCAACACAGAGTTAGAAGAATGTTCATTTGGCTTTATGTATTTTTGAATGTATTTGAGTGAGTTCCTGAAAATAATTCTGTCAAGTTCAGTTCTGTCATAGTAATATATATATCAACATTTTAAGCTGCAAAACTATAGGAAAATAAGGATTCATGTTAGACTGACAACGAGCGTAAAACTAGTCAATTTATAAAGAACTCTTACTATACGTTATGATTTTAAATGAAACGACATGACTAGTTTGTCTTTATATTTGTGGGTAAGTTTAAAATAGTCCTTCAACTATACACTAAACAATGTGTCTTTTAAGTTTTTCGCATAATACTTTAGTCTTTATGAAATATTCAACAATTTATAATCTTTAGATTTGACGAAAGCAATGATTTTTTTGAACCATAAATGTCAATTTTCTTAATCAAATCATAAAAATGCAACAAAAAAACTACACTAGACCAAAAAGATATTAAAAATATCACACATTACCCCCTTCAAAAAGCTGCGTGAATATATTCAGTGTAATTTTTTGATACAAAATTTTAGAAATAAACCAAAAATAATAGATACTACAAAAAATGTATGTTCTTATTTCGATAAATATTTATAAGAGAAATATTAAAAATACTCCTGAACACGTAAATTATTAGTTTCATTTTCAAACTATAACTTCATAAACACCTTACTTTTTGAGAATTTTGGTAAGTATTAAAAGACTCAAATTATTAAATACATACTTAAAAGGACTATTTTTGAACTACCACCAAGCTTTCTGAAGCCGCCGGTGAACTAAGCAGCCGCCATAAGCACATACTGATCGGCAAAATCATCGGAAAAACACTCCGGTGAGTCAATTCTCTGATTCTCAGTAATTTATTTTCTAATTTTGCTTTTCTGCTGATGAAAAATGCAGTTTAATGAACAATAATCCGGTTTTACACCTGAAAATTTCCAGTTTTCAACTCGATTTCTCATTTTTAGTTTTAAAGATTCAAACTTTTGTGTGTGAATTCAAAATCTGATCCAAAATCTATTGCCAAAGGCTAACTAAGTGATAGTTCACAACATGTTCGACAAAATGTCCAACTGAACTTGATATTTTTTTATTCATTCTTGTAGTTTATGTTATTCAGGTATGGATATAGCTCATTGCCATCTAGATGGAAATGCTGATGCTGTGGAGTTTTGTCCACACGAATCTTTTCACAATGTTCTAGCAGCATGTACTTATACTTTACAAGAAGGAGATCAACCTAGTAGAACTGGTAGTATATCCCTGTTTGATGTTGATGCTGATTCCAGTCGCCTTAGTTTGATAAATAGAGTACAAACAGCTGGTATATTTGATATAAAATGGAGCCCGATCAGTGGAACTGTGGGGCCACTACTGGCTCAAGCTGATGCTGATGGTTATGTTAGAGTTCACAAACTTGAATCTTGTTTGGATGAATCACAAGTTCCTGGTATGTTTGAGCATCTCTTGTTGTGTTTTATGTTATTTATCGTCAAAGGGGAAGTGTTACATGAGGGAGAACATATTTAGTTTTTTATCTACTATGAAAACCAAGTTATGGAGTATCTGGAATGAAATGAGTCTAGTGTTGAGAAATGCGTCTAGTCTAACTTGGCATCGAGGTGTAGTATGTTGTTGTATTGAATCAGAGGCATATAAGGTAGCCCTCAGGTTGCTATCGGATTAGGAATAGATAGCTTTGGGAGATATCATTTCGTTGCTTTTATTAAAAATATATTTGTAAAAGCACTGAAATACACTTGTATGGGGTTAAAGGTACTTTATAGCAGTTATATGTAACAGAGGAAGGAGATAATGGAAATCTTTTAGTAATGTGTAGATTGGATGAATTGGAATACAATGTCTCAATGACCTTTGACGTAATACAAACTTCATAACCACCTTCATTTGAAACTAATTTTTTTCACTTAGCTATTAAGAAGTTATACTGGGTGTGTTGTTGCTGTTATTCCCATCGACCTCTTTTTCCCTTTTTCATTTAGCATTGGTGGTCCTTGAAGTACCTTGCTTCATTTGGCACTTTACTTTTAATAACCAACTGAAGCACTAACATGGCAGGATCTTATTATTATTACAGGGAATAGTTTACTGGAGATAAGCGACGAACATGTCAGTTCCTCTATGTGCTTGTGTATAGACTGGAATCCATCAGCTACATCCCTCGCTGTGGGGCTTTCAGATGGATCAGTCTCGATAACTTCACTCCTCGAGTCTCAACTGAGCATTTCCAGAGACTGGAAAGCGCATGACTTTGAAGTTTGGGCTGCCTCTTTTGATATCCACCAACCACAGCTGGTGTATACAGGTTCAGATGACTGCAAATTTAGTTGCTGGGATTTGCGAGATGATCCCTCTAACATAGCATTCCAAAATAGAAAAGTTCACACAATGGGGATTTGCTGCATTGCTAAGAGTCCAAGTGACCCTTATACCTTACTCACCGGTAGCTATGATGAACACCTAAGGGTATGGGATGTAAGATCAACCGCAAAACCTGTACATGAGACGTCAATCTCCTTAGGTGGAGGGGTTTGGAGAATTAAGTACCATCCTTCTGTACCGGACCTAGTCTTGACTGCTTGTATGCACAATGGATTTGCAATTGTCAAAGTTAAAGGCGATCAACCTGAAGTAGTTGAAACCTATAATAAGCATGGTTCCCTGGCATATGGAGCAGATTGGCAAAGAGGTCGCTTAGAGAAGAATAATGTCATCGCTACTTGCTCGTTTTATGACCAGCTCCTTCGTGTATGGATGCCAGAAGGTAATATTCCCGAATGACCCTATGTTCTTGGTAGAATATGCTTCTCTTTCAATAGCCGCCCAAATGACTATAGGATCATCGGGCTACTCTACCCCGATTCACCATTTTAAACCTTTTGTAGAAGGTATTCCCCTACCAACTCTTTCTACCTAAGGTGAATTTGGTGTCTTTCTGGTCAGTAATGGAAGCAATTGTCCCAACCATCGTAAAATAACAGCACCTGGCTTTGCCCATTCACAAGGACTTGATTCTATGTCCAAACATAACATGCCAGCAGTTGTGGTTACCATCACGGGTACTCAAGATATTGGTTGCTCGATCAACCAAAATCGAATTCAGATATTTTTATTTCTTGTTAACCAACATTGTTGTTGTCCTTTTAGCAATGTAATTTAACTTACACACTTTTATCAAAATTGCCAAACAATTCATTGTAATTCAAATTTAACTTATATGCTTATTTTCTTAAAACTTATAACGTTAAATGGTAATTATACATTTCATATCGATTATCCGTGACCACTTGTAGAATTACACTAGGTATGTTAAGCCATCTAGAAGTAGTAAAATCCACACCCCAAAAAAGATATCTTGCCAAAATTCCTCTCATCTAAAAATGATTATATTAGATGGAGGACACTTTTTGGAAAGGAAGTATCAGTGATTTCCACAGCTCGAACCTGTGATCTATAAGTCGCATGAAAACAACTTTACGATTGCTCCATGACTCCCTACCAATACCACTTGAATAATACAACATAAATATCAAGTTGAGATTGGAAGTAAAGTTTTTAGAACCTCATAACTCTAATCCAAATCATTGTACAAGTCGAGTTGTGACAATAGGTGATAAATTACTTGTACAACCCTAGTGTACATCACTTGTCCCAAGGGAGCATTCCAAAGCAGCAAACATCTCAAGATTTTCCCATTCTAACAAAGACAAGGCTATACAGGCATCAAGCCCTACTTGGAGTTTGACCTACATAACATATACTAAAGGCCAATAAATTACAACTTTGATTTCAAGATTATCCAGGACCTACTTAAAATTCCAATAAACAAGAGTTTCTCCAAGATCATGGAAACTATCCATCAAATGCTATCCTTTGAACACAACATGTAGGCCGGGCTAAACTTTTACCTTCTCAATGATCATTGGAAGATCCAAGACATACCGAATGATGACTTGAAATCACCCCAAGTCGTAAATTGAAAGCATCTGACTGAAACTAGATGACTTTTACTTTGTATTAAAGTAGACTAGTCATGTTTGCCATCTGAATAATTTACCAGCCAATTTGCTCTCCAAACGACTGATGATGATAGTAGACGTTCAGTCTTCCATCCTGATGACTGAAGCTGTGACAGAGAATTGTGTAAGAAACAAGATACTTAGCTCAATCTAAAAACAGAAACTGCACAGCTAGCAAGTTATGGGAAATTTGGCATGACAAAATTGGCTTATATGTGGGAGGGTGCACCCATATGGTCAATGAAGTGAGAAGAGAACCATGAGATCTCATGTTCAAATCTCAGTGGAAGCAAAAAACACAAGGTGATCTCTTCTAATTTGCCTAAATCTTAACGGGTAAAGCAACCCGGTATCTGTGCTAGTGAGAGGTAGTAGGTACTCTGAGGATAAGACGAGGTGTGCACAAGTTAGCCCCAAACATCACTATCACAAAAAAATGTGGGTTGACTTCTTATCGGCATTTGCACTTCTCCTCTTCTACACCATTCGCCAGTTTTCACTTTTTTTCTTTTTGATAACAGTGGTGTCCGGGCCAACTTGCGTGCACCTCGACTAATTCCATGGGATACCTCCCACCATTTGCCAACTTCACTTTTCAGATACAAATTTTAGCATATGAACTGTTTCGTGATGACACATAATGGAACATCAACCTATTTAGGTGGCATTTGCTTCAAAATATTGATAAACTGATTTTTTCAAAAAAATTGGTAGTTGGCTATGCTTCAGTAATTGTAATTTGTAAAAGCAGTGAATATATTATGAAATTTCCTCTCTAAAAGGAGCTTCTGGTGTAGACAAATACCTTCAAAACAAAGACTTCATAATGCTTATCCATCCATGATTGGCCTTCCGAAGACATGGATCCTCCATCTTGATCATCTAGTTTTGCCATGACAAGAGCATGGATGAACGATTGTAATATATCAGCTCCCGCTGAATCCTTATGAGTAATAATCCTGATAATACCCCCTTTTTGTTGAAGTAAATATTTCTCTAGAAAGACGAAAGAGAAGATATAAGCGAAATTCTTAGCTCAAGTAGTTTAGCTTGAAAACATTTAATATATCTATCAACCTTTCTTGTAATGCGATCCAGCAGATTGTAATAGGTCAACCCTATCCATCAAAGACAATTTGTTACTTAACTACCCAAATATTCAACACACTGCTTTTTAACAATCTAGGAGCAGTATTGAAAGTGCATTAGGGAGCCACTTCAGAGAAAAATACATTAACCATAAAGTTTGAGTATAGGAAGCATATCAAGGTACCATTTAACAGAACATGCTATTCGAAGCTGGCTAATTAATATTACAAGCTTTTCGTTTGCATTTCAACATTACATGGTCATGAGTGATATCAATTAAGCCTTATCAAATGCAAAATAAAAGGGAAAGGATTTTAAGGAAAGAAACGATATTTAATCTTATGGATTTTTTTAATAAAGAATAAAATGTCTAGAAGATAACTATATAGGAATTTTCATTTTCCTACTTCAAATATATAATTTTTATTATCTCTAGATTACACCACTCTATACTGTTTGTATATCTTCAGCCTTTTCGACAATAAGAAGCAAATTTAATTGTTAGCAAGTAAAGAAGAAGAAGAAAATAATGTTTCTTCTCTGCTAGTACCACATTCAACAGATATGGATGCAAATTAGTATTAAGAAACATGAAAACTCACATAGCAAGGCTGTCAAGTGAAGAAACTCTGACACCTAAACGTACTTGCTTGTATAGAGAATCACCACCCTTTAAGTTCCACGAGGTCATCCATAAAGGTAGAACATGCTCCATGGAAGAGACCTTCTTTGGAGAGAGTACTGAAAACCAATGCATGAAACCTCCAGATAAGTGAACTAATGGTTTTTTGGATAAGTAACTGAACTAATGTTATTAGACATTAACCACAAGATTCACATATTTTTTTCTGCATGCATATTCAAAGACTCGTGCTTGCAACATTCAGCACACAGAGGAACTCTAATGGTTAATGATTCTATTGCAAAAAGCAAAAGCAACAAAAAATTTGAGTCATTTTAGATTCACAACATCATGAGATATTCCTACCCAGATGATATTCTAGGGCATGGATACAGTTATCCCTTCTGATGACTATGATAAAATTAAGATGATCTACTAACCTTGGCCTGTCTTGAGGAAATGTGATAAAACAATGGAGCATCTTTCACAGTTCAGAGTATTCAGCGAAAGACAACAGACAGCCTTGTAGTTTGCTGCGAGATGCATGGAGTTAGTATGGCTTGCATTTTAGAAAGCTTCAGCTTTGCATTTTATAACTCACAGAAACAGGGAATTCAAAGCAAAGCATAACTAACCATACATATGGAACATAGTAAGAGACAAAAAGGATATCCAAATGGGAAAGGAGTGGCCAATTGTGAGGCGTGCAAGAAGCATTCCTAAAGCCATTCCAATCATCGTAGCAAGAGTTTCTTGGCTTCCTTCCTATCAGAACAGGAAAAATGGATGCCAAGTCTGAGTAAAGGAATTCAGTTCTTTGACACCTTACTATCTTTTTGAAATGAATGCCACCATAAGATCTATCACAATACCTTTGCAGCTATATCTGCTGCATTGTTTTCAAGGGCAAAGTGCTGCGTCAAAGCTGCTCTAGTGGCTCCACTAGCAACACCAGCTAAATGGCAAGAAAATAGAGGAGATTTAGAGAATCAGCTCCATCAGTGCAGAGCATATTTGGCCTCATTAACCAGAAAATTCATCTTCTAGTAAAAGATTTAAAGCTTTAAGGCTAGCCACCAAGGTTAAAAACATGCTTCAAACTTCTTAAAATTGTTAGCAGAAAATAACCAGTATCTAAAATGGGATGAAGTTCATGAAAACCTAGAGATCATAAAGCTACTGCAATTAAAATCTCATAATATTCTAGTCAGAAGGACAAACAAAGAAAGCAGTCAAGAAGAAAGTGAAGATTATAACTCTAGAGCAAATAAGTAACTATTACTGTATGTATTATGTAATCTAAACTTCGAAAGTATTTAACAGGTAGAACAGTTATGAAGTGTAAGGCCAAACGATTAACAATCTTCTGCTGCAAAATTGAAGACCAATAGACCATACAAATATACAATATATGTGCAAGAGATCGGGATAGGGCGTTAAGCATTTTTCATTTGTGAAGTCGTGACTGAAATGCAGAGTTTGATACTTGACCTGTTATCTATCAGCTGCATTATGCAAGCTCTATTATAGCACTATTTGGAAGTAATAAGTCATGAATAGGGGACCGGAAGTGACTCCACGAGCAATTTGTGTGGAAGAAAGAATAGAAGAGGTTTTGAAGGAGAGGAGAGGGAATACTGCTACTGCAAATTATCATTCCAGTTTTTGCTCGTAAGGACTCTCAAACCTATATAGATGAGTGTACTGCTCGCAGAATGGAACCCTTGTACATGGGATTTGTCCTCCTTGTCAATAAGATCAATCTACTTATTCAACAAGGAAAAGGTGCGATCCACAGTAATTGACCCACACATGAAGGCGAAAAGTTCGTTCATGATGACAAGGACAGGAAACTGATCAGTGGCTGATTCTAATTTCCATTACCTAGGTGAAAGAAATAGTGCAATCATCTTTTAGATGTCAAAGCTCTTAATCTTAGATAAGACTACAATGAGAAGACTTATTGTTTCTGTGACAAATGCTGATGTGAAATTTTGAATATTTTAGGCACTTTAACAGAGATATCGTCGTGGAACAGGAGCTGATTAACCTTTCCCACAATGTTGGATTCACATACTGCAAGAAACTAGTTTTTAGAAAAAGAAAGTTCAATAGCTTTATATCTATTTTGTACAACTCTTGGAACAAGGGACTAGACTAGTTTTTTTGAAAAGAAAGTTTGATACCTTTATGTCTATTTTATGTGACTCTTGGAACAAAGGACTAGACGATTGAGTAAGAGCAACTCAACGATATAGCATCTTTTCAAAACTTGTGTTTCATTTTAAATATATACTATGAGATTCACCCATGTAATAAATCAAGACACAACAGATCAAGATAGTAAAGGGAAGCATCTTTACATTGAATTACAAAGCGCATTTAGTACTTTCGGCA